GCATTTCCTTGATGAGTAATGGCATTAAGCATCTACAGTTATCAGGCACTTGGTATTCTGTTTTGTGAAGTACTTGTTCAAATTTTTGGCATTTTAAAAATTGGGCTGTCAGTTTTTATTTTATTATAAATATAGAGTTCTTCATATACTCTGGGTATGGCTTGCTTGTTTTGATTTATTAATTTTTTTCTTATGAGTAGTCCTTTTATTTAAGGCATCTTTACCATAAATTCATTCTTCTGTGTTAATTTTAAGAAACTATCAATTTTCACATTGAATGAATTCCACCTTGAATGACTTATTTTGTCTATTGTTTAAGAGGCTGGTTCAAGGTTTATTCCTATTTTGCATACTTAAAGACACCAGTCTTATCTATTGATAGTACTATTCTTTTGAAATTCATTGATACCTTTGTCATAGTCAAATTTTATTGCATGTGAATGGGCTTTTTCTGGACTTCCTATTATGTTTCAATATTTTTCATCCTAATTCTAGTGCTACTAAGTCTTAAATTACTATTGCTCTATAGTAAGTCTTAAAATTAGAGGATAAAGGCCTAGACCTTCCAGGTTTATAATTTTAATGGCAACCTATTAAATATCTTGATATATGTCTGTCAAATATTATTCGCTTTAACTTAAGAAATGTTCTTTTCTCTAAAAAATCTAAAATGTGTGCAATATAAGAATAAAGTTTATTATATACAAACTAATACAAATACAGATACCTTAAAATGTGAAATTTTGTTAGACTCTTTAATGTATTTAATTTTTAAAAATGGAGCATGAGATTGACAAAGGTAAAGATGGTAACACTGTGAGGTTGTGAGAAAATAGATACTCATATACATGGCTGGTAGCAGTGTAAATTGAATCAACCTTTCTGGAGGATTATTTAGCAATGTACAGCAAAATAGTATAGTGTGAGAAACACGCTCACTGGTCCAAATTCAATAAGTGGACATGGAGGCAAAGAGAACAGCGGAGCGAGGCTTTAATGATGGTCTTGCAAGATGCGGTGTCTGGGGAGTTTGGCCCCAATAATTTATCTCCTAGTGTGCGAGTCCCTCCCCTGGTTCCTCATTGGCTGAGTACTACAGGGTTCACATTCTTTCCCGGAGGTCGCCTAAGCCAGTTATATCTTTCCCTTACATTTGTCTTAATCTTATTGGTAGGTTAAAAAACTCAAACAGGTACAGCCAGGCCCTTATCAATACCCCCACCCCCATCCCCACCCCCACCCTCAGCCCAAGCAGCTTCCTCCAAGTGGCCCTTTGTTAATACCTTACTGTTAAAATGTTTAAACATCCTAGTGGGAATAAACCACATTTAGGTTTTATACTCTTTCCTAACATATAGTAAGAGTGAAATATTTTCAGTCTTAAAAATAGTTATTAAAATGAGGAATTTTATTTTGTTAACTATAGACTTTTGTAGATACAGGTTTAAGAGCGAGGAATTAAAAAGTGAGAGATAAAGTCTTGATTTGTTTCTCTAATATAGTTAACATACCAAATATCTATAAGCACTTTCCTTGAATGATACTAAAGTTTAGTGTTATAATGGGATTTGGGGATGTCAGATATTAATAAAATATGTACACATATTATTCCATTGGCTCTTGCTCAAGGAAGTTATCCTCTTGATAAATGGAAAAGACTGATTAGAGAACAAGATAAGACAATTTGCAATAAAATATGAATAAAAATTTAATATGCTCCAACTTGCTGTATAGAAGATGAGTCCTATGGAAGATTCGTAAAAGAAAATATCAACATTTGGCTAAGTCATGGGGATGGGTTTAATGGAGTAGGTAGATTTTAACTGCATTTGGAAGGTTAGGCTAATACATTAATTTATTAATTCCCTTAAGCTTTTTGTAACACATCCTTTGTGTTTGCAATTCAAAGATTAATGAAACTGACTAACCTTTTAGGAAGTCAGATTATGCTACAGATAATACATAGAGTTTAAATGTAAATGATATGTGTTTTTATGAACACTGTCCCATTGTCTTCTGTGGTCTCTCTAATTTTCTATTGATGAGTGGTGCTGTTTTTGTGAAGTTAATATAAATTTTATTTTGAAAGTATAGTTAAATGATAATTATAACATGAATAAATTGGGAAAATTATTTATTTTCTATCAGTGAATATTACTTAAAATTTTCTAAAGGAATCAGAGTAACAATAAAATGACTGAAGCTCCATGCTTTCAGTAGAAATTTAAGGAAATTAATTTTATTAAAAAAAATATGCAGGTGGAAATGTTAGTTCACTAGCCAACAGAGTAGTAGTAATCTATTTTCCTTTTAGTTCTTTTTTCTGAATCTTAAAAGAACAATTCATACCACTTTTTATGTTAAAAGTGTATTGTATTTATTCATTCACGAGAATATACTGAGTGGCTAGAATGTGCTTGGGACTTTTCTGGACTATAGGAAAACATTGCTGGATGAAACATACATGGTTAGAGGTTTGCTGAGCTATTGGTTCAAAAATGTTTAATCTTCTAAGGCTTCTTGAACCATTGTTTGGTTCATTTGCCTATTTATTACCATGTTTTTCTTTTTAGGCAGAGGTTTCCTGACAGGCCCCTTTAGATAGCCAAAGATATCTTCGGGACATGTTTCTGCCCACTGTCCCTTACTTTGTTGTTGCCCAGGTGTGTGGTCCATGTTTCATCCTCAGATGGACTTTATTTGATGCAGGTTTACTCATTTTCTCCTTTGGTGTATGTCAGGGATGATGGCCTTTCTAGCACAGAGAGCTGGTTTCAAAGGCAGTTAATATTTTAATTTTTAGTCTAGCAGATCATCACTGTTTACTGGCTGGGTCCATTTTACCCTTCTTTACTCTCTTATATTTTTAATTCAATTTATAAAAAATTTATAGAGTAAGTATTGAAAAACCACTTTATTAGAAATGTTAATGATCCAGGTTGTTGAAAAATGTTGTGTGATAAAGTCCTTTTAGCTGAATGACTGACTGGAGAAAGAATACCAACATATTGTTCACTTGTAATTAAGTTATACAGTATTCATCTAGGATATTGCCATCCATCCGAGATGTCATTTATATGATCAATTCACCACTGTGATTAGAATTCGGAGTGCTACTGTGTTTGTGTGTTCACCCTTTGATGTATCTAATAATTGTTTTCTCCTCTTCTATTATGGATGGAAAATGAAAAATATGGAATTTCACATATATACAATGAAAGTGAAATCCTGACTACGAAGATGGTCTCTCCAAGCTTTGTAAATACCTTCTTGAAAGATAATGTGCTGTTTTGGGCAATGCATTCCTAAAAATGGGATGATGACTTACTTTACTATTGCATCAACATAGTGTGTCAGCAGTTGAAAAATTTCAATAGCTGCCTGTTTTTTCAAATAAAGTTTTGTTGGAACATCTCCATGTTCAGTCATTCACACGTGGCTGCTTTTGTGCCGTAGTAACGGAGTTGAGTATGGCAGAAACAGTGTGGACCACAGGCCAAAAAAATTTACCATTTGGCCCTTTAAGAAAAAGTTTGCCAACTCCTGATTTAGATAATTTCCTCATTTTCCTTTTGAAAAATGTATTTTTTTAGTCTTTTCTCTATCATGGTTGGGAATAATTGATTAATGATGTGAATACTGATGAAATAATACCTATGATTATGAAATAACTATGTTTTTTAAGTTAGAGGAAAAGCAAGACTGAGATCCTATGTTAGACTTATAAAAAGGATCCAGTGGATCCATATGATAATTGCAAGGTTGAATGAGTTCTATTTCATTACCAAAGAATATAGTGAATTTTCTTTTATTCTTTGGAGTACCTCTCAGAAGGAATGAAAGAACTTCTAAGAATGACCATGAAATATCTATCAATCCTTATAAATAGTTAAACAGTAAATTCAACTATTATTAACTGTAGTTAAGTTTAACCATGCTAAGGATAAAACCCTAAAAAATAAAAGTTGGGTATAGTGGACCCTAATGATATATATTGTATAATATAATTGATATACAGCTCTATGTTAGTTTCAGGTGTACAACATAATGATTTGATATTTACATCCATTGCAAAGCGATCACCACAATAGTCTAATTAACATCCATAACCATACAGAGTCACACTTTTTTTCTTGTGATGGAACTTTTAATATTTACTCTCTTAGCAACTTTCAAATATGCAGTACAGTATTGTTAACTGTAATCACCATATTGTAGGTTACATCCCCATGCCTTAATTTATTTTATAGCTGGAGCATTTGTACCTTTTGGTCCCCTTCACCCATTTTGCCCCTGCAACCACCAATCTGTTTACTGTGTTTTATGTGCTTGGTTTTTTAGGTTTTTTTTTGTTTTGCTTTTTACATTCCACATACAAATGAGATAAATATGGTACTCTACATTTTTCTGTTACAAATCAGATAATATGGTATAAATTTGCTTTGTAAAACAGATATTTGCATTTGCTGCTTATTTTGTCCAGAGTGTGAAGAACCTTTTGATTTTTTTCAGTTTCTCTTTTTAAAATGATGCCGTTGAATGTGTCACCAGAGTTAAAAAATGACTGTTAAAAAAGCTGTGGCAGACCATGAAGTAACTTGGACCAAGTATTACATAGATGTCACTTTAAAGTTTTAGTGTAAGAATTGCATGTTGTGATCCCTTAATTATGTTCATATTACCTTTTTAACGTTTATTAATCATAGTAACCAGGGTTATTTTTTTCTACCAACTTCTCGAGGAAGATTTTAGTTTGAGCTGAGACACAATTCATCTGTTCGAAATTTGATTATAAGAGCATGAAAATCCTTATTCTCATTGAAAAGTTTTCCTTTTTCAGTAAAGTTCAATATTTAAATTAGGTAAGAGATTATTACATCAGTAAATAGTACTGTTGGTGCAGCAACATGGTCAGCAGAACTGAACTATTAAACTAGTATCTGCTTTTTAAACATATGTGTACCAGAGGAATATATCACAGATCTTTTTTTTTTTTTAAGGCAAGAGGAGCAGATGTTCCAGAGATTCCTGGAGACCTTAGTCTTAAGACATGTGGCAGTACAGCCAGTATGAAGGTTAAACATGTGAAAAAGTAAGTATAATTTTAGAGTGGGTTTAAAAAAATTCCTATAGATGGAAATTAATACTTTAGTTAATGTGGAAACTTTGATTTAGATATCTTACTATGTAAACTCTTACTGTACATATATTAAATTATACTATTAAACCTTAAATTGACTCAACAGTTAATGCAATAGGTCTAAAGATTACCTACTTTTAATTTTGTTTTTGCAAAAACTTTATGTCATTGTCTATTAGGTAGCTTTGTTCAACAGGAACAATCCAAGTTGTCTTTCTCAGTACCTTTAATACATGCTCTTATTCATTTAGAAAAACAAACTTTGCTATTTGATTTAGGAGATTGCTATTATCTCAGCTTGTCTATGATGAAGCCTGAAATGGATGCCAGTATTTGACTCCTAAGTGCAATATCTGAAGGGTATACATTTCTGTTTTAAACAGAAAAACCATATTTTCCTTCGGTAGGGGGCTAGTTAGCTATGTTTTTATTGCAAGTAGAGAAAAGACAAGTATAAAAATGTTCATTCTGCATCCAGACCCACCAATCCAGGAATGATGGGCTGTGACAACATTCACAGGTAAACTCTGGCTTTGTATTTTGTGGTGGGAATGCTGCTTCTCGTTAGAAGCTGGCTGTTCACAGTTTCATAGCATTCACTGAAAGCATAAATTTTCTATGGACTTGGGTCAAGATTAAGAATGTATAGTGATGCTTTTTAATTTTTTTTGACCTGTGCACTAAATGTAATTTGCATTTGATTCAGTGTATTTCTAGAAAGATCTGTGTGGATATATGTGTGCTCATGCGCATGTGCTTATTAAATAGTTGTGCTTGCATGAGCTCTTAAACCCATTTTATTTTCTCCTAGCTTAGTAATTTTGAGTATTCCAGTATCTTGTATCTCACTTATTAATTCATGGTCTTCAGGTTACCCTTCACTAAGGGTCACTTCCCGAAGATGGCTGAATGTGCACATTTCCATTATGAGAACGTTGAATTTGGCAGCATACAGGTATATTTTAAATATTTCCTATATACCAAATTAAGATATTCTGTATCTGTCTGTATCTATGTTGATGTCTCTATCAATATCTATATATCTTATCTGTATCTGTGGCTGTATCTATCTGACAGTTGACACTTGAAAGTAGTTTTTTCTATTGATGTCTTATTGATATAAAAACTTTATTCTCTTCTATTCACTGTTGCTTGATGAGTGATGACTCCTATTTCAAGGTGAAATAGTGTAGTAGATTGGTGTAAATCTCAGAATTTCCATCAGTGTCATAGAGTTTGCCACTGTTTTATAGCATGAAGTATTCTAGTTGTTACCTGACTTGTGTTGGGTCATAGTAATGATGGATGTATCAGTCAGAGTGAGGTAAAGTAGGGGTTGGGGGGAGAAGTGCTAATGGACTTTTTTTTCTTATTGTGAAGTATATCGTGTGTGTATAAATAGATATGCATATAAAACTTGCATGTATACATACACACTATACACATAAATGCATACATTTTAAAGCCCAGGTTAAGAGATAGAAATTTCCTGTGTCCCCTTCCTATGTTGTATTTGTCTTCTCTGCCCCAGAGGTTATTTATAACCAGATTTTTATAATATTTGTTACCTTACATTTTAAATATTTTTACTGTCTGTATGCATCCCCAATAATTATGATAATCAGGTTTGCCTGTTTTTGAACTTTACATATAAAATGAGATATGCTTGTATTTGGCTTTTCAAAGTTTGAATATAATGTGTCTTGCTATGGGTCTCTTTGAGTTCATCTTACTTGGGGTTTGTTGAACTTCTTGGGTGTTTATATTCATGTCTTTAGTCAAATTTGGGATGTTTTCAGCCATTATTTCTTTAAATATTCTCTCTGACCCTTTGTCTCTCTGTTCTCATTCTGAGACTCCCACTGTGTGTGTTGGATGGCATCCCCTAGTCCCCTTAGGTTCTGTCCACTTTTCTTCCCTTTTTTTCTTTCTGTTGTTCAGACATAGTTTCTGTTATCATATCTTCACGTTTGCTGATTCTTTCTTCTGTCTGATCAAATTTGCCCTTAATTCCCTCCTGTGAAAATGTCATTGTAGTTATTGTACTTTCAGGTGTATAATTTTTTAGATTCCATATCTCTTTGTTAATATTTCCATTTTGTTCAAACGTCATTTTCTTGACTTTCTCCACATATTCCTTTAGTTTTTGGGTATCTTTAAGACAGCTATTTTAAGTTCTTTTTCTAGTAGATCCACCATCATGTCTTTTTAGGAAGAGCTACTGTTACTTTTTTCCTTTGAATGGGCCATACTTTCCTGTTTCTTTGTATGTCTTAAAGTTTTTTGTTGATTCAAGTTGGTCATTTGAATGTAATAATATGGTAATTCTGGAAATCTCTTCTCTTTCCATAAGACATAGTGTGCTGGCACAGTTACCTCTGCCATTCCTCTAGTGTACAGATTCCTTTCTCAGGACCTTTGGACTTCCTGTTCCTCTGCTTGGAAAGCTTTTCTCCCTGGCTATCCACATAACCTGCTGACTTACCTTTGTAATCACTTGCTCAAGTATATATTCTCAGACAGTGTACTTTCCCTGCCCAAGATTGCAGCTTCTGGTCATCAACCTTTCTCATCTCTCTCCCATTAATTTATGTTTATCCATAGCACCACCATCTGGCATCCTGATTATTTTATTATTATTTATTCTATTTTTTTCATCTCATCATCTAGAGCAGTGCCTGACATAGTCACTCACTGAATATTTGTTGAATGAATGGATGAATGAATTTATATTTGAAGGAGAATTAAAATTTTCTTTAAACATGCTTTTCTAATGTTTTTTTCACCACTTAAGTTTTCTTATATGAAAGAATTTATGTTCCTTATGGGTGTGTGTATGTATATGTGTGTGTGTGTATATACACACGTATGTTGTATAACATCAAACATAATGGATGACAAAAATACAAATACAAATTAAAATTCCCTGTGTACTCTATCTTGTTAACTATGTGTCTAGAATTTTTCTATGTTTATAATATAGAGCAGTATCTCTAGACAGAAATCTAGCCATAAACATATGTCTTAGCTATCTGTAACCCTTAAAAAATAAAGACAAAATTCTGTACATTCTTCTTGAAAGTTGCTTTTTTACTTGAAAGTGTATCTTAATTTTTTTTTATTTCAGTAATTTGGATTTACCTCATTTTTTTCACAGCTGCATAGTATTTTATTTTATTATTATAATGCCATAATTTATTTAATCAGTTTCCCATTGATCCATAGTCACGGTTGTATTGATGTGAATATATTCATTAAATAAAGTCCTGTACGAGGATTTGTTGGCCATAGGGTATATACATTGAAAATGTTGACATTGTTGCTAAGTTTATTTTTTTTTAAGAAAGCCAATTTACTCAGTGGTTAATGGTAGTATCTTTTCCTCACAATGACAAGCATCATTAGTCTTTTTATTGTTTGCCCATACAATATGTAAAATTTGACATCTTCTTACTGTAATTTGTATTTAGTTATGAGTGAAGTTGTACATTATTTTACACTTCTAGATCATTTGTATTTCTCTTTCTGTAAATTGCCTGTTACATCCCTTTTCTGTTTTTTTAAAAATTATTTTTCTATTGATTTTCTCTATCTTCTTAATTGTATTCTGGCACCAAATGAGTCTGGACACAGATACACATGTTTATAATCACACTTAACATGTGTGACAAAGGTTTGCATTTTTGGATCTGTGAGAGAAGGTGGTACATGTTGGTCGTTAACCATATATTTGGAAAAAGATGAGCTGAATGTGTGCTCTGCAAAGGCCTTATGAGTTAGGTTCTCTAATCCCCCATTTAGAGACGGATATTTGATAAGTGAGGTGATTTGCCAAGACTCACAGATAGTAAATAGTAGAGCCAAGGTTTGCAACCAGGCAGTTTGCTGCCAACGACCCACCATTAATATTCCAGTTTCTGATGATACTCTTCTAGTCACCTGTGTGTTGTATCATGTCTAATTATCTGTGCAGTTATTTTACATCCATCCTTCTTTTCTATTATTTTCCTTTAGCTTAAACCTTCATTACCTCTGGTTGTGGCTCTACCATAGTTTTGACATATGCCTCTGTTTCAATAACTTGACTTCAAATACAGCTCCAGTAATATTACCCTCTGTGCAAAACATTCTTGGCCTTCTATTGCTTGTTAAATGAAGTCTTCACATTCAGGATCTTGCATATATGCTTCTAACACACCTTTCCTGCTTTTTATTTGCTATTCTTCTATCAAACTTAACTATTCATTTACTAAATAAGTCACAGTCTTTTCCTAACCTTTCTTCCTGTCATATTCAAGAATTCTGCATATCTTTCAAGGCATGGATAAGATCTTAACCAACTTCTATCTCCAATCCTTGGCAGATGAGTTGGTTTCTGAATTAAATAGATTTTTTTATGTTGATGTAATTCACAAAAAATTCACATAAAACTCATAATATAAAATTAATATTTTTTATTAAGGTAAATTCACCTTATTTAGGTGAATTAAGAATTCACCAACTTACCCATTTTAAAATGTAAATTTCAGTGGCTTTTAGCACACTCATCTATCACTGCTATTGATGTGCAACCATCACTGTTGAGTTCCAGTGTGTTTTATTATCCCCAAAAGAAATTTCATAGTGTAATATTTTCAAGATTCATCCATGTTGTAGCATTTATCAGTACTTCATTCTTTTTGTGGCTGAATAATATTCCACTGTAGGGCTGTATCACATACTGTTAACCATTCTTCAGTTCATGGGCATTTGAGTTTTTTCCACTTTTTGGTTGTTATGAGTAATGCTACTATAAACAATCATGTATGCTTTTTTGTGTGAACATATGCTTTCAGTTCTCTTGGGCATGTCTTTTTTAATTTAGCTACCCTAAATTATAATTAGATTATGTATGGTTAGATTAGATGGACCTATGCTTGTTGTCTATTTCTGTTTGGAGAAATGTCTATTCAAGTTTGTATTTTAACTGGGTTGTCTTTTTGTTGTTGAGTTATAAGAACTCTTTATTGTTTTAAATACTAGATTTTTATCAGATATATAATATTTTCTCATATTCTGGGGGTTGTCTTTTTACTTTGTTCATAGTGTGCTTTGAAGCACAGAAGTTTGTAATTTTGATGAAATCTAATTTACCTGCTTTCTTCTATGGTTGCCTATGTTTTTGGTGTCATATCTAAGAAACCATTGTCTAAATCAGGATTATTATGAAGATACATCTTGTGGTTCCCTTTAAGAGTTTCATGGTTTTGGCACTTATATTTAAGTCTTTGATCTATCTTAAGTTAGTTTCTGTATATAGTGTGATGTAGGGAGTAAAAATTCATTCTTCTGGATGTAGATATTCAGTTTTCTCAGCACCATTAATTGGAAAGACTATTTTTTCTCCCTTGGATGGTCCTAGCACTCCTGTTGAAAATCTGCTGGCTATACATGTTGGAGTTTATTTATGGATTCTCAATTCTGTTCCTTTCATCCTTATGTGTTCTGTGCCAGTACTGAACTATTTTGATTACTGTAACTTTGAAAAGTGTTTTAAAATTGAGAATTTTGAGTCTTCTTAGTTCTTCTTTTTCAAGACTGTTTTGGTTATTCTGCATCCCTTGCATTTCCATTAGGATTAGCTTGTCTGTTTCTATAAAAAAGGCAATTGAAATTTTTATGGGAATTATAATTATGTTGATTCAATTTGCAGAATATTTCCATCTTAATAATTAAATCTGCCAGTCCTTCAACATGAGATGTGTTTCCATATTCTTTAATTTTTTCAACAATGTTTTGTAGCTTTCAGCATACAAGTGTTGCATTTTTGTTTAAATTTATTCTGAAGTATTTTATTCCTTTTGATGCTGTTATAAGCATTGTGTTTTTGTGTCATTCACCATCTCCCACTTTGATTTACTTTTATTTATTCTGTAGTATTCCTGAGCACTTACAAACTCTTTGTGTGGGTAAGTC